ATCAGCGCCTGTCATTGTACCCTTTTGCCCGATGAAAACACCCTGCTAGGACTTGCTTTCTCCTAATTGTCCATGTACTGTACCCTTTTCTATGTTGAATGGATTCTAGTGGCTGCTGCTGCATCTAAGAAAAGGAATCCCAAACACATGGAGCTCTGTGACAATGGCAGACTAGATAATCAAAAACTAGTAACAATAACTTACTGCAAGTTGCAACCCAGGCTAAGTCCTTTTTTGCACCATGTATCTAGTTCTCATGGAGACCCTGTTACCATTTTCATTTTGTAGGGAAGCAACCTGAGGTTTTGAAACTCAAGTTACTTGTCCAAGGGAAGATGCTAGGTAAAAAGCAGAGCCAGTGTTCAAATCCAGATTGCTGGATTTAGAAACCATGTGCTTTGCCTCACCTTACTCTGTCTAATACTGCACCTCAGTATACTTTACCTTTGAACCATGATCTTTTTTTCCTGAAACACAGCATAGGTTTTCTTTGACTTTTTTTCTTAGGGACAAAGCAGACTACTCTGCCTTTATTGGTTACTTTCTCTTGAAAGAAAACTTAAGGTGTTCTTCATATAGGAAGTCTGTTCAAGATGAATCATTTTTGTTCCCTCTGATGTTGCAGGGGAATATCCTGAGATAGGAGAGACTCCTATTACCCATCAGTTACTTGAATGATTTAGGAGATCAACCTCCATAGGAGGCTTCCAGTGCTCCTTCTAGAAGAACATAAGTCACAAGAGTAATGTATTACTGGCACCCTGAGGTTCTTCCTTGGCTCAGTTGGTGGAGAGGATCTAGGAGGCCCTTCTGTTTGTCTATTTGTGTCAACTTTGGGATACCTCTGTACACATCTCTTCCCAATTCTGCAGGCAATGGCATCATGTTGGTAGCCTGACATTGGCCATGATAGGAGTCTTTATACCACAGAAGTTCGTAGGTACTACATAGCAGCAATTTTTCCTTTTTAGAGAGTCAGTTGTGAAACATTCACCAGGACACCACTAGGCACACGCCCCAAGGCCTCATGGGCCTTCATAACTGTTCTGGATCCTTGGTAATGCTTGTTCCACTAGCTCTTCAGTCCAGAACTCTTCAAGGAAGAAATAATTCTCACCATCATCACAAAACTCTTTATAACTTTATATAAAGCATTATTCATATGTTGGGTTTTAGCAGTGTTGAGATTAGGCATTATTTATTAGGGCAAACAAAAGGTGTTGCAATATTAATAACAATATTTACATCTAACCCTGAAAGTGGGTGTATGGAAACCTTTTCCTAAATACATCCATGTCCTACACAAGAAAGAGAAGATCCTAAGGACTTTAATGAAGAAAGAAAACACACATCATTTGGCAGAGATTATTGCTGTCAACAGAATGCTCTTCACTGATGACTATTTCTACTTATTTTTGTAAATGCACAAATCTTGTGTACACCTCGATGAATTCTGACATGTGTATTTACTCTATTTCTACTTGGGATCCAGTCTACACTGTGTAGGGTCACACTGGCTGTAAACTGGGCTTTAGAGTCTCTGGGTTCCACACATGATTTTACCAAAAATTACCTACAGGGTCCAGACACATCATTTAATCCATCTGCATTTGAGTTGCATGCATTTCCTTTAGTCCTCTGTACTTTCAGGCAACAAACACTAATTTAAGCAGATAAGAAATTTACTGGGTAAGTTTTGGATGGCTCAGGAAACAGATGGGAAGTTGGGTGAGCCAGGATCTGAGAACTGGAACCAGGATATTAGCATAAACCAATCACTTTCTTGGTAGCAGACAACCCCTGAGAAGGAATCGGCCACAACCATTTCCCCTCCTGTTACTGCACAGTCTGCCTAAGATTCTATATTGCTGGAAACCTGGGAGTAATAGGGGTAGCACCTTCACACAAATAGGGGAAAGGCATTTCCCCAAAAGGGACTGTGTAATCCAGATGCAATACCAAATACTGGTCAGCCCTTCCCTCGCCAGTGATCAGTACAACAAGGAGAAGACTAGGAACCATTGTCTAGTTCACACACAAATAATTTACTAAGTGTTTTGAACTTCTTTGACAAAGTCCTGAAAACCTGTTATCCATGAGACCTATAATGTTGAGCAGGTTTTGGCTTTTACCTTGAAACTTAAAAATCTAAGAGTCAAATATGTGCTTTGTTTATAGAAGTCTGTGAGTTTATATTAGATCCATTCCTGATTCCACTTATGTTTAACACTAGTGTTTTCTTTCCTGCTTTATGTCTACTTCTAATTTACGTTATGTAGCTATATCTTATATATGCTCCCAAGCTGCCAAGAATCCTTTTTGCAACAAAGCAGTATATAAATACAGACATGCTATCATTTCTTAGAATTCTTTTATAATTTTAATCTATTGTTCTCATTCAGAAAAATTGGATATTCAAGTGAATAGAATATGTTCTCTTAAATTCAAATATAATATCAGAGTTACCTTGACTGATTCGCAAAACACAGAGTTGCTTTTTAAATCTCTGTGCTTAAAGTCACATACAGAGGAAAGCAATAATGTAGAAGTAAGAGGAATGGTAATTATTTCCCTGGAGAACAATAATTTTGCAATAAATTTCAAAAACAGCACGATTTAGCAAATTAAGCTTAGAGCCAAGGATATTAAATAGAGCTAACTTTGTAGAAATAAATTCTGATACCAGGTTTCAAACATTACTTTAAACGTGTTCATTTTGAAAAAAGCTAGTGAAGGGGCCCTTAAGGCTTTGGTTTGGGATGTTGGGTTTTGTTTTTAAAGGCTGGAGGAGTGAAACCTCTTTTATACCAGGCAGGATATAATGAATATATGTCTCTATGTATTACTTTATTTTGATATTACTAGACTGCTGAATAAGCAATACTGATAGCAACATCTCCTTTAAAGGTAACGTGTACTTTGCAACCACGCTTCTGTGCTTTGGCAACTTCTAATGGAAACAGTATTTCTTTGATCCTATATTTAGTACTGATATTGTTTATGACTAAATGTTAAAAATAATTCTTCAATGCCACATGCCCTAAGGTTAATAAGAAAGGCACACTTTCACCTTTTAGAAGAGTTTACAAGAAATCTTGGGCTATCTTTTGTAGTCATAGACACATCTAAGAGGGCTTGAATTGAGTGATAATTCATTATGAGAGCCTTCCCTTTTAACTCCCTCCTCCATGTCTGTGCTCCAGCTTATTAAATTGCTACTTTCTTTTCTTGGCTCAGGCTTTCCTGAAGAGAGGGGAAACATCTATCTTTAAAAAAAAGGAAAGCAAGCACAGAAGATAAAAAAGAAATAAACAACAGAGAACACATGCATACACTCTATCTACCATCTATCTATCCATCCATCCATCTATCCACTATCCACCATTTAATCTGACTACTGGAGGTCATGTTGTAGGCATAAACAGCACTGACCTGCAGGTAGAAAACCTGAGTTTACCACTCTATTATTTGTGTCCTAGGAAGAATTTACTTCACCTTTAGACACTGAATTTTTCCTCTATGTGTGAAGATGATTATAATACTTACCAGGATTTTTTATGCGGATTAAATGACCTCAATTCAAGATGTGTGAAATGTCAACACTTCTTGAACTGTGTCTACCCACCTTTCCAAGAGACACGGGGTTTTTGTCTGCTTGTGTCTGGGGGAGCAGTTCACGCGCAGGAAGACCGAAGCTGGCCCTCTCTGCAGTGAGCAGCATTCCTCCCAAAGTGCTGCTACTCGTCTATTGTCAGACCACACTGCGCTCTCTCATTAATATTAACCATTTCCTCTAAAGCGTCTTACTCTTTGACTCACTCTGTTTTAAGAAGCCATTATTTTTATAGTGGTTGCTAAGTCACCATCAAAGAATTCTCAGATCTTTGAAGCACGAACATACAGGAAATCCAGGTTATCGGTTCCTTGGGCTTTGCAGGTATTTTGAAGTAACTTTTGAAAGACATGGAGAAATTGCAGTCGGGTCCATCTGTGTACATTAAAATATATTCTACTCTAGAAATGGATATCCCTGAAGAATCAGCTACTCTGCCAGTGTTGCTTTGTTACAGGACAGGTCATTACCAGCCAAGCCTGTCTAAATGACCAGGTGTGTCTCTGCGTGTGTGTTGCTCAAGATAACACATTCTATTTATAGCTAGGATATTTTTGTAGAAGGAAAATGGCCACCTAGTCTAATCAAACTGAGAATTTCCGTTTCTTCTCAACCTATTTATTGGTTGATAGGCTAGCTGGCTGTTAGGTGGGAAGGGGAAGGCTCTCACTGTTTAGTTTTTGTCTTGTTTTGCTTTGTACTGAAGTAAAACAAAGGTGACTGGGGGGTTTAGTAATCAGAGATGAATGATTCACAAAAGTGTCTGGTCAATGATTTCTTTGATTGCTGCTAATGAATCAAATCTCTTTAGTCTGATCTTGGCCTCCAAACTCAAACTCACTCTAAACTTGCTTCTATGATACCATGTGCAGGAAATCTGTGATCTTGCCAAACCACCTGAAAAGAATTATTTTCCTTGCACACAAAATAGAATTGTCAGTTCTTTAAAGTTCAGTCAATAGAGGTTTTGAAGAATTAAAACCATTTCTACACCTCAGTAGCACTCCCAAAGGTTAAATACGTTTCTGTTCTTGCATCTACAGGATAATTATGGAAAAGCAAATGAGTTTCTTCTCTGAAAAGACATGGAAACCAGGCAGTTATTTGTGCCTGCAAAGCCTTTTGGGTCTAAAGAACCAGCTACATAATAAATTGTTTTCTTAAAAACAGGAAGTTTGGCAAGGATGCAAAAGTACAGCTAAAGTTTGGCGGGGTAACCCAAAACATTGTGTTCTTCTTTGAAAGTATTTCCAGCAAGAAAAAAGCAGAGTGCCTTGAATACATAGTTTAAGAAGCAGTGCAAGCATCTGGCGACATGCACTGCTTGCCAGACTTGGGGTTGTGCTTTGCTTGCTGATGGGAAGATGTGCCAGTTTTCGATGACTTATATCGTACACAGCTGGAAACCCACAAATAAGTAAGACCTTGCATGTTGTGAAGTCCAGAAAGAGTCGAGAAAAAATTTTGCCTTTTTCTCTCCCTTCATCCGAACTGTAAAAATATTAAATAAAAGAGAATACTTGGAGTTTAAATAGAGAAAAGCTAACTTCAGATGTCTCAGGGAAACCTGCTTCAGGGCAGGAGCATTCTGGCAGTTGAGACATTCTGGCAGTTGTTGGTGTTTTTCCTCTCCTCCCCTCCCTCAAGTTTTTCATACTCATACTTGCCAGCTTTATTAATATGATTTTGATTATGTAGCATCTGTTTTGGACAGAGCCAATAGGATTGGAACCTCTACTTTGGTCCATCAGTCTGAGAGGACTTAAAAAAAAATTAGGAAATTAACCCAGAAGACCTCCAGAAAAGAGAGTATTGCACTTCAAGTCAGTTTGAGCTGCAGGGAACCCTGGGACATCTTGACTGGAGGAGGCTGTGCCGGCAAAGGGGTGCTCCTCGGGCATGCAGGGCCTCTTCTAGAGGCCATGACAGTGGGACTCCTCTTGTTCTCCATCTACACTGGGTAAGTTGGCTTGCAGTTTTGAATGTAGGATTCAAGGAGAGGAGTTCCCAGTTTTAGTTCTTGCCACTTGGGACTGGAGGCAACCTAGTGGGCATAGGATGCGGAGCCTCCTGTAAGGGTTAGCAAATGGAGTCAGCACCTCAGGCCAGAAACCTTGTGGACACCTGTGCTGGCAAACCAGGAGCAAACAGACAAACATGACCCGTTTCTTTTTTTGCTTGTGAGACAGGTTTTCTCAGGTGACTATTATTTATCTGCCTATTCTTTGTTGAGTGGTTTTACCTTTGAGGCACCTCTCGATTTTAAGTGCAAACTACTTTCTCTTGGCAGGGATAGTGAGGTAGCCAGCAGCCTAATACAGGCACAGAGTGAGACTACGGACCTCTGGCCCTGGCTCTGCAGCTGGTGACCAAGGTGATTCTGTCTTTCTAAACCATGGTTTCTTCATCTGTTGATAAATCATTATAATGGTGCCTACTTCAAAGACATGTGGAGAAGAGTGAACATGTGAATGGAAGTAAGGCATGGATTGCAGTACTGGGTTGCACTGATCCATCTGTGATCAATAAATGTTGGCTACTTGGGGACAGAGAGAACCCACAGTGTGATTTCCTCCACCCATGACCCACGTAAGGTTGTTTTCAGTGTTTTTAGCATGACTTGTTCTTTTTAGGGACAAATACAACCAGCTCTGAGATTGTCGTATTAAAAATATATGTGCAAGTACATTTGTTCTTTGTTTGCTGATTGTAAAATAATTGGATGTTTATTTTAGAGATTTTGAAGAGAGATAAAAAATAAGAATATCCTTTAAGTTACCACCTAGAAATAACCATTATTTGCATGTTGACATTATTCTTTTCAGTCTTTTTTCTATGTTTTATTTTGAATTACTAAATTGGCATACTATTATATATCCTAGGCTTTTTACCGTACATTATCTTGTAAACATTTTTTCACTTGATTAAATATTTTTTAAATGCTTAAAAGTGTTATTTTAAAGGGCTTCATAATGTTCCATTATATGGATACTCTTCTTGAAATTAAGCTTTGTCCTTTTTTGTGGTGATGTCATGATGAATATCTTGTCTGCATATGTATTAACTTAGGATAGAATTATTGGGTTTTAGAAAAAGTTCTTAAAAGAACTCTTGATAAGCGATGGCTATGCTTTGAAATTATGAGGAATTGAGTCTCCCTTTCTAGGAAGGAGGGAGAGCTCTACCATAATGTGAGCAGAGAATGCCAGCCTGCAGAGCAGGGGCTGAAGTGGCTTCTTACAGAACTGGTAGGCCAGAGCCCCTGACTCCCCTGTACACATATAAATGCATGTGCATGTGTATCACACACACATACAAGCTCTACACTCTATCTATACAGTATATAGATATCTCTGCTTCTCTCCCACTGCCACCCCACTTGCCCTGGATTGGTTTTGATCTCCAGCTGGGAGGGAGGGAGGCTGGAGGCTGGAGAAGTTGCCCTTAGACAGAGGCGGTCATTGTGTGGGCACTGGGAGGCCCGAGCAGCAGAGTGAGGAGAGGGCTCTTCTCTTTACCTCTGCAGGGATCCTCACTCCATGCTTGCCCATGAGGACGGGCAGCTCAGGCCATCTGGGTGGGCAGGCAGCAGCCTGACTGGACAGGACTGTGTCCACAGTTGGCACAGGTGATAGTGAAAACTGAAGCTTCCTTGGGGACTTTGCCAACCAAATTCCCCAAAAGGAGGGAGGCCAGGCAGCAGGAAGTGTACTGAGCTGGTGCTCCAGGCAGATGGGTCTGCGAGTGCCTGTGAGATGCCTGGGAAGTTGGGGGGTCCAGAAACAAAATCAGTTGGGTGGCTGCAGGGACTAGACTTGCTGTTTGAGATTCTGGGCCTTTCTTTGCCAGGGGAAGGTGGGTTAACCACTAAGGGGACTTTGTGCCCCTCACCTGGCCAAGGTTGGGGGTGTTTGCTTTCCTACAGGTGGTACCTGAGTCAACGAGGTGAAAAATAAGGAGCTGAAACAGAGAAAAGAAGGGAAACTATTGCCTTTAAATCACTGGGAAGGTGCCCAGCTCTCTGGTGTGTGGGGATGACTAAGGCTGGGCATTCACTCGCTCTGGGCTCATTCTGGGTACTCCCTGTCTCCCGCCCCTCTGGAGCCGGGCATGCGCCCCACACCTCATAAGACCTAGTTTTGGAAACACCAGTGCAATGCTTATGAAGTCACGCCCCATGAGGTTTGGTCTTGGAGAAGTGTTACGGCTGAAAGAACACAGTCCATGCAATCAGAAGTAATTTCAAAATAAATCAAATCCTCTGCTTGCACTTCTCAGATGCCCCTGTGTGAATGGGAAATGGGCCCCAACACTTCTCACATTCTCCCTTTCCTTCCCCTATCCATTGCTCCCACAGGCCCAAGTGCTTTCCAAAGCCCGGATCCAAAGCCCCTGCAGCCTTTCAGTCACACACTTCTGTGGTCCGTTCCTTCTGCTCATTTTTATTCAAATCTGTCTAGAAGCCCAAGGCAGGAGTGACCTCAGGGGGCTGAAGAAGGCAAACACTCTCAAGTCAGACTGTTCAGAACCACCTTGAGAACGGGAAGCAGAGAGAAAGGCAAGGGGAGTCTTTGGGGAAGCTGTTGGGGTTCCAAGCAGGTCGCTGCTGGAGTCATGCAGTCCCTGGTGTTGAAGGGGACCAGGAGGGAGAGAGGGTGTGCGGGCCTTTGTGTGACTTGGAAGCAGAGAGCTGTCTTCGGTGGCCTCTTGATGCTCTTCCCTACCGGGGACTCCTCATCCCCTCACTTGTCACATTCAGAAAGTATATTTGGCAGTGTCTCGCCTTGGGCCCTCAGACTAGCACTGCCTTCAACACAGCTGGCTCTAAAGCCTGAGTTCGGTTAGGCTCACTGCCTGCAGTTCCCTGGTGAAGATGTTCAAAACAGAGGCCAAGTGAACTTGGCTCAATGTTTCCTTGGAGTTTTCCTGAACATGGGGAAGAGAATTCCCTTTTTACTTTGACTTACTTATTGCCCAAATTTTCTTTTTCTCTTACTGAAGCACTTCGGGGCAAGGCTGAGGGGCTCCAGAAAAAGCTCTATTGCCATGTAATTTGATGGACAGAAAGTTCCACTTTCTTCCTCAGCGAATACTGAGGATGCCCTGTAGCATGACGTGGGGCCAGGCTCTGAAGATAGCTTGGGGCCCTCTTTGGAGTAACACAGGATGGAAGGAGCTGTGTGCAGTCATCAGACATACTTGCTATAATGTGGAATGAGCTACTAAAGGTGTCTTGAAAACCTACTGAATTGCTGGGCAGGAGAGTACATGTGAAACATTTCCTCAGTGTATTAATTATTTTGATATGAACAAGGGTGGGGGGTGGGCTAGGCCACTGGTGCCTTTTTCATCCACTGTATGTGTATCTGTACCAGTTTCATGTTGGCCCAGGATTTGTTTCGTCCCTGCCCCACGGACATCAGCGTCAGCATCAGGGTAGGAAGGCCAGAGTTTGGAAAGCTCCTTAAGGAGGTCCAGAGCAGTGCCCACAGGGACTTAGGAGGGCAGGGAAATTTTATTCTACAATGACCTGTTCTCCATTAGGCAAATCTCTCAGTGACATGGGGAAAAGACAGGTTTTGGAACCAGAATGACCAGTGCTTATATGATATGTTAATTATGTGAGTTTGGCTAAGTCTTTGCATCTGTACAAAATACGTATTAATAATTTCTCCTACTACATCCAGCCATTTCAGGATTAAATGAGATAACATTTGTAGTTTTTCTGGCATTGTGGCTAGCTCATAGTAAATGCACAGTACACACCATGTCTCTCTTCTTCCTCAGATACACATATACACACAACCTGGAATAATACTTCAAGAGAGTTTTTCCAAAGGTTCTCTTACTTTTTTCTGAAGCACCAGTTCCTAGCAGGTAAAAATGGTGACTATACAGAGTTGAGTCCTTCCTAAAATATGGCTGAATGCGTAATCAGCATATGTAAAAAAATCCGTGTTGGGTGTCTTCACTGTGGGGAGCTAACGAAGCAGAAAGCTCACTCAGCCCCCCTCGAGTATGCAGTGAAGCTGGGAGACAAGATGCAAATACTGGCAACATTCAGAGAGGAAGAATCAAGACATTGGAGTCCTGTCCCTGGCTAGTTCAGTTATTAGAGCTCCCAAACATGCCACCAGGCACCCTTAGGCAGCTAGTTCCCACTCTCCTCTAGCGTGGGGCCTTGTGTAGCCTCTCTTTCCCCAGGTGACTCGGCTGCCTAAGGTGCTGGGAGCACCACCATTGCAGCTCTTTCCCCAGACACCCTGCACCAGCATAGCCGCAGGCCCTTCTCTGCCTCCCCATCTGCCCTTGGTTTTGCAACAGCCAATCCCGGCAGAGGCTGAGGCTGTGGGGCCCACCCTGCCTGGGCTCCAGCTGCTCCCCTGAGAGCTGTCATTTCTACCCTGCTCCGAGTTGAAGATTCTACATGTAGCACCTGCTTCAGCCATCTTTAGGAAGTAATGTTAATGATTAACAGTTTAGACTTTGGAGTCAGAACACAAGAGCTTAAAATCATACTTCCACCACTTCCTAACTATGACTTCATGTAAATTAATAATTAAGCCTCAATTTCCATGTCTGGAAACTTGGGGCTAATAAATGAGTACCTACCTCATTTTGAGGACTAAATAGGATGGCATACATTCAGTGAAGCACATGATAGGCTCCCAGGAAGTATTTGCTATTATTATGTAATGATTGCCCTTCTGGGGTATTAGGTATGGGCCCGATTTACATTTTCTTTGTTGCATTTCCTGAGGCCCGGCCTCTCTCACCTGGTCTTCATCCCCAATCCTCTTTGTGTGTCCCAGAATGGGATGTACAATCTTCAACTGAGCCCTGCATTTGGAAAAATTACTTTCCTTCTAAAATCACTTCCTTGCTTATCAAGATTTTGCCTCAGTTTTCATATCTTTGTGCTAGTTTGAGACTGTGAATTGTAGCATCTAGGAAAGTACT